CTGCTGTTCTGGGCAGCTGCAGAGGATTTGTGCTTGTTTGAATAATGTTCTTACACAGTTCCTCTTGTGGGAGGATGGGATGTTACTTTGGTAATGGAGTACTTGATTAGTGTGGGTTGTCTTCCGATAGACTTGGGTTTCTAATTTGCTCTTGTTACCTCTGCTGATGAAGATATCCAGGAAGGATAGCACTGAAGATGTTACCTAGCTGGGTAACAAAATGTTTGCAAGAAAACAACCAAGTGCAGAGAACACCAAGGACTCCACAGTTCAACCCTGAGCTACACATATTCTCTTCTATTGGTACATGCCTGAAGAGAAGAAGAATTCTTACAGTTATTCACAATTCCTCCCCACGGTATTATTGGAAGATTATTCAAAGCACATAAACTAAAAAGTGAAGCAGAGAATAAAGTGGTCCTTGTCTTCATTAAAACCTGTAGTGGTTTTCCCCAAAGTGCAGTCCTCTGTTGCATCTCCCCTTTTGGTGTCCTTCTGTTAGCTCAGGAAAGTCCCACATCCTGGACATTGACATCATCTGACCCTAGAGGTCTCTGAAGGGGAGGGTAAGATATTTATGTCTGACTTGAGGCAGGCCCCAGAGAAGCAGAAGCAACACTACTACAGCAGTCTGCAACCACAAATTTTGTTTTTACTATTAATTAGTGTAGTGGATGGGGAGGAATCCAATTCTAAAAGGTACTCAAACGTATCTAGTCAGCCAGTGAAACTTAAACTGGTCAATCTAGATAGAAGAGGAATAGAGAAGATAATCAGGAGGCTTTGGTGGGAAGATTTCTTTTCTGAATTGGTTTAGCATTGTTTTCTTCTGTAGGGTGATCCCAAAACTCTCTTTTGGTAACTGTGGGTCTCCCACATATTCCTAATTTAAGCCAATTAAATAAATGTATTTGATCTTCCTGAAGATCATATAGTCAACCCTACTATTGTCTCTTTTCCTGCAGGGTGAGAAGGGTGAGCCAGGTGAGCCTGTGAGTATCTGAGATTTATTGTAGAAGGAGGTATTTGGGATTCTTTTAAGGGAAAAAGATGGTTTATTCCTTGGAAACTGACCATTTATCAATTATTTTTGCAGGGACAGAAAGGACAAATGGGACTTCCTGGCCGTTCTGGAGATCCGGTAATGTCTGGCCTTCTTGAGAACAATTCTGTGATGAGGAATAGGATTGGTTCTATTTCTTGAGCTCTGTTCGTTTGACTGGACTCCTCCTTTTTTGGACAAATATATGTTTAAAACCACTGGCAGAACCTCTCTCAGAATTTCAGAGAGTTTCTACTCTCAAATCACCAGAAGCCTCAAATAATGTAAACTTTTGTAAGTTTGAGATTAACTCGGTGATTTAATAATTTATTTAGTCTTACTAGTTCAAAGTTTATCACAGAAAGTAGATTTAAAGACTCCCAAACATTGTAGATGATAATACTGGAGTGACAGTAATTAGCTTTCTAAATTACAGTAAACAGTAATTAGCTTTCTAAAAATTTCTGGCCTACTCCATTTCCCTCAGACTCCTTTCCAGTTAATTTGCCTTTCACCAAACAGCGTGGAAACCAATGGCTGTTAGATGTTCCCAAATTGCATGATTTTTCAAGGAGGATTTTTGAGTTGACTTCATTACTATCCCAGGAGGGATTTTTTTTGTTTGAGTTCCATTTCATACCATCAAAGAGGAATTTAAAACTGTTCATTAGGCCGAGTCTCTGTTATCTTCTGTTAAGAAGAATAGCGTTAGTGAATTATACTCACTACTGTACCATTTCATTTTAAAAAAACAGGAAAAAATGTTTTTCCTCATCCACTTGTTTCTTCAAATAGGATTTATAAATCTGATAAAATACTGTTTAGCACCACTTAAAATGGAACAGTCCTGAAACATAGATGACAATTCCAGGTTTTGAGTTCTGTGAATATTAAAGTAAGAGAAACATAATTTCAGTAGTGTCTTCTATAGGAAGTCAGTCTCTGTATACATGATACATATATAACTTATTTGTGCTGAGGATGAGACTCAATGGAATCTCTTCTGTTTTAGAACAGATTGGCTGAAATTTCAGTCATGAAGTAATTAATTCCTTATCAGAGTCTGTGTACATATATTGGGCATACTTGGTGTCAATCAGAAAATCAAAGGAAATCCATTGGTACTGTATATAATCACTACCCCCAACACAGAATAGTCTTCCTAAATTCTAGAGACCCATTTATGAGAGATATGAAAAGACAGTTTAATTTGGCAGTCAATAATTAACTATGAGATGTAAAAATGATAGTCATTTTGATGCCAAGAAGCTACGGAGCATATAGAAGAGGGCTTTTGCTGTAAGAATATTATTTCACTTCGTGGTCATGAGGAAACTGAAATGTTGCCCCTTAAAATTAAGAATATGTTGGCAGAATGGCTTTTTTCCCTGCTTCCTCCCCTTGAGATTTCTAGTACTACTAAGTACTATTCCTTCATTTTACAAAAGGTTATATCCATCAAGGATATTGGGAACTTAATAGGTATAGGAACACCAGCTAAAAAAACCAGAGTAAAAATAATTCTTTTTTTCCCCCCAGGGACGCAATGGGATCCCAGGTCCTCCAGGTCCAGTGGGACCTCGGGGTCCCCCAGGTGACACCACTGAAAGGCGGGGTGAAAAGGGAGAGAGGGTGAGTTCTCACAGCATTAATGTAGTCTGAATGAAAGAGAAAACCAAGTGCTGAATGTTACAGAATTCCTCTTTAAAAGGAACCTTCCTAGTTCCTCTTCTGTATCAGTCTTATTGAATTTTACATCAACAATTAATGAATTATTTTATATGCATCTTTTAAGCTATATAATGCTTCTACTATTAAACCTCCATTTTTTAAGCTTTCTGCCTTCCTTTGTAATGTGTGGTTTTGCCTAAATCATCTGGAACTATCTCTTCTGCAGTTCTCTCTCTCTTTGCTGTTCATCTGTGTTTGCTTGGGGACAACGTGGTTTGGATCTCATTGGTGGCTTGATGAGCAGCAGATCTTCCATTATGTGAAGAGTAGCATTTTTAGCTGAAGCCCTAGATTAACTTACTTAGAGGAAGTCCAGCTGCAATCAGACTTACTTTACAGTAAACCTGCTTCAGATTGGTGCTCTATAAAATCTTTGTCCATTTTTTGTGTCCTGAGAAACTAATCCACTATTGGAATGACAGGTGTTGGTTATGCCTGTTGCAGATCTTCTAACATCTCTATGTATTTCTCTGAAACAAGAAATTCTGGATCAATGAAGATGATCCATAAACAAGTCAGTTTTGAATCTACTGTACACTAAGACTGTATGTCCATGTCTGGAATACTTCAGATTACAGTTGAAGGCTTACATGACTAAATTTACATTAGCATAAATAAACTTTTAGGGGAAAATGGCCCTCTAGAAGACCAAGTTACAACATATTTTCTGATGTGCTAGCTTTCTGTTTGCAAGATTGCTTTTATATAAGAAAGCATTCAGTTGTGAGTCCCTGCCCAAAGTATGAAGTTATATAGCACTGAAACAAGGGTAGCTTTATGGGAATTAGAACCCACTTGCCATGCTGGAGAGCAGTCAAATAATTATAACCATGTGGTGGAATGCTTGGTCCTGTTTTGTGCCATATGCAAATTAAGAAGCCCTTAATTTGCATGTACACCAGCTAACCTCCTTTCTTGATTATTCAACACTTGATGACATTAAACCAAATTTGGTAAGCGTTTCCATTAAATATTTAATCCATTTTGAGCTTGCAGTGGGTTGGAGGAAAGTAATAATATTTCTGTAATGATTTATTCAGACCTGCAAGCCATCCATCATTTGATAATGGATAGTAGCCAAGTTCTGAATATGCATTTATTTGCTTGACTACCCTAATTGTTAACACTCTGGGCAATATATGTACATGTGAATAATTCTGTTTCCTTGCCTATGACCATCTGGAGAGCAACACTTTAGGAATTATAAGCTTTGTTTCTGTTATGAGGCATGTTCTCTTAAGGGACTGGATCGAAGAAGCATCTCCTTTCTTAAAGACAATTTTCTGTGGCCTCACTATCCTGTGCTTGGTTCTGGACCAAATTTGCCAATCTCCCATGAGCATGCACTGTGCAAATGATTTGAATTACATACCTGTGATATTTTGCATGCTGATGCAAAATGACATAAGTAAGTCATTTGTATTGTATGCCCAATTACATTTTGATGCACGTGATATTTTGGCATCATTGTGGCTTTCATTAGATACCTATGCAACCTTCTCCTACCTGGCCCCTTCTGGATTTGTTCAACTCTTATCTCCAGACCACATGGTGAAGACACTTGGAATTTGGGGAAGGCTGAAATATTGTGTGTGCTTTTTCATGCCTGTGCTTTTGATTCTTAAATATAAATAATCTCTGCAAAGATATGTCCTTAATATTTCTATTTTCTTCTAGGGATTTCCAGGAGCAGATGGAGCACCAGGGAATCCTGGCCGTCCTGGCAGCTCAGGTCCTCCTGGTCAGGCAGTAATTAACCTTTTTATCATCTTGCCATGTATAGTTGCATGCAAATACATTCCCATTTCCTATAATGGTTTGCTGTAATTGAGATATTGTCTGCAACCATCAGTTTGAATCTTTGAATTACACATACTTTTTTACCTAATATTTTTTTCATCATGGTCATGGTGAAACATACAGTTCTGTTCTTATGCAGAAATCAAACTTTCTAGAACTGAAAGGTTTTTGTGGAAGCCTTACATATTTAAGCATGGATTTGGGTTTGACAAACACATTATTGTGGCTTCACCACCACTACAACTCTGTACTGCTTCAAAAGGTGGTGGAAGCAGCACATTATCACTCCATGTGACTCATTTGCTTTGGGAAGAGTCACATGATGAAATCTTTTCCCCATTACTAGTCCTTTACCAAACTGGCCAGGAGAAATTATTTTTCGATGCCTTTTTTGTGAAAATAGACCCTGTACACCTGACCTTCCAGCCCAGAATCTTCTGAGTCCAACTAAAATCCCTTGGTTTGAAATTCTAAATCCCATTTTTTATGAGTCCTTTGACTAAGACTTTGTCACACTCGTCTTTTCTGAATCTCCTTAATAAAAGGAAGTGTATCAGCGGTTTAGCACAGGGTATTCCACTGGCAGAGCTTCTCCACCCTGGGTAGGTCAGTCCTGACTCAGTCTGTCAAGTCAGTGCAAAAACCGAAGCTTAATCTGGTGAACCCAGCTCCAAAAGAAAAAAAGGATATGGACCTCTGCGTGGGACAGGACAATTTACTGATACTGAAAAAGAGGCAAGGAGCCCTCCCTGACCTTAGTGCTGCCTGCAGATTCTCCTTGCCAATCCCAGTGCTTCTCCCAATCCTTTTCCAGTGGAAATAATCAGGTTGAGACTGATCCAGATTTCCCACTAGTGTTATATAATTTTAAAAAGTTTTTTATATTTTTACCTGTGAACCGCTTAGAGTCACTGATAGTGAGATGGGTAGTGTATAAATGTATGTCAAGCAGCACTGATGATGTACTCTCTTGGCATTGAGATGTAGCATCCTGAACAATGTCTGCAAGACCTGATGTTTGACAGTTCCAGATGTACAATATGGCACATTACTTGCTTTGATTCCCGTGCTTCTTTCTCTTCAGAGGATTGCAAAGGGTCCCTGGGCCAACCTCTAAGTTTAACATCTACATGAGGTCACTGGGTGAGGTCATCTGACAGTTTGGGGTGAGGTATCACCAGTATGCTGATGATACCCAAGTTTATATCTCCACCTCAGGCTGCCTGAGTGATGCCGTGGACATCCTGTCCCAGTGTCTGGAGGCTGTGTGCACCTGGATGGGGTACAACAGGCTTCAGCTCGACCCAAGCAAGACTGAGTGGCTTTGAGTGTTTGGACCTTCTGGTGTCAGGGACTTTCCATCATTGGCCTTGGATGACATGGCACTGCCTTAGACAGACCCAGTGCGCAATCTGGGGGTTCTCCTGGACTCACAGCTCCTGCTTGAAGAACAATTGATAGCTGTGGCTAGGAGGACCTTTGTACACCTTTGGGTTGTGTGCCAGTTGCACCTGTCCCTGGACTGGGAGACCCTCCTCACTGTCACTCATGCCCTCTGGTCTGGACCACTGCAATCCGCTCTACATGGGGCTGCCATGTCATATTCTAAGCATGGCTAATGCTAGCCTAGTTTATTTAGTTCTGGGATTTATTTTCAAATATATTGTTTCATTTTATTCCTCACTCTCTTTTCTTATTCCCACCATAAGAAAACAAGTCCTGTTCACCTTTCTCTCTCTCTCTCTCTCTCTCTCTTCCCCCCCACCCCTGCCCTGCTTCTCTTCATAGGGCCTTCCTGGACTCAGAGGAATCGAAGTAAGTAAAGGTAATATATCTGTTAAACTCCTTGTTACCAACTTAAGAGTCATTTACTCCTTCTTATCTTTTCCTTTCAGGGGGAGCGTGGACTGATTGGCCCAATTGGGCCAAAAGGAGAGAAGGGTGAGCCGGTAAGTGGAACTTTGAGAATTTGACTAGGAAAAGGATCATACGGTGGTACTTTTGTGTAGTACGGTGTGTAACATTTCCATGTTATGTATGCCCTAGCTTCTCCAGGCACTCTTCCAAAGCAGTATTGTAACACCAGAGGTGCTGATGGGGAATCCTAATGATAAAGAGGGGAACATCCTTGTCCTATATGTCTGAAAGTAACAGTTGTTCTGGCATCATGAGTTCAGAATAGAGATAATTACCTGGCTATAATCCTAGCAAAATGGAAATAGAGGTGGGTGAGCAAAAGAAAGTCAAGAATATTGTAAAGTACTTATTTCATGCTCTCAGCTGAAATCTACCATCAGAATGGCACGATCATGCAGACAGAAAGCTTTGCTCTTATAACACATCTCTATTTAGAAGATGATATCTTATTGACATTGGTTTCCATACAAATAACTGCATTCAACTGAAACAAGATGTATTGTTCAAATAGCATTGGGGCTGTGATCCCTTATTTCGGAATTGTCCAAAACACAGAGACCACTAAGGCTATCTATTCTAGTACTGACCCACTTATATTAGAAAAAAATCTAAATTTTCATTGGAAAGTGATTAACAATGTCAGGCTGTTAGGGTTTATGCACCATCCCATCTTCATTTTTCTTTTTCATGCAGTTCTTCACTTAACACATAGCATAAGGAGAAGTTCTGGTAAACTTCAAATGTGACTCACACTTTGTGACTTCTTTATGCTTATAAAAATATTTCCGTGCTCCTCTTGATTTTGTAGAATATAATATATACTATAGAATAACAGACTGTGCTTCCATCTAGAGAAGCTTAGACAGGTTTTTACTTAATTCCTAAACCGTAGTATGATAAAACTTTTGTCTTGGTCAGGGGGAGTCTGGAATAACTGTGAATGGAGGAGGTGGCCTTCCTGGCCGAAAGGGAGAGCCTGGCAACCCGGTAGGTAGCACCTTACAGGCAAATGGGAGGGAGAAGGAAGAAAAGGAGACTGAAGGCAGACTCCCAAGGACATGGGGGGACATCCTCTGCCGCATTAAATCCTCATTTGCCATGTAGAAATATTTCTTTTCAGCATCATATGGATATTTCACCACTTCTGGTCTCACTTTGAAACATGCACAGTAATCCTACGGGTATTTACTTGGTCATAAATCTGGCTGTGCTTCCTGCATTTTTAACTTCCATAGAAGTGTGCATTGGATTGCAGGCCTAACTTTATACCTGCATCTTTGGCTAAGTAGCAAATGGGAACCCAGTTCTTGCTAAGCGTTATCTTTCTTTCTGCCTCAAGGGAACCCCTGGAACTCCTGGAATTCCAGGCCTCAGAGGTCCATTAGGAGATCCTGGGCTGGTGGGACCTCGTGGGCCACCAGGGCCTGCTGGCATTTCTGTCAAGGTATATGTTCCTCTTCTTGCAGTGATTTTGTACTTTAGCAATTGAAACAGTTCATGCGCATTGCTGAATATGAAAGCAAGCCCCATCTTTATGTTCATAAAGATCCCTTGCACACATGCCTTCAAGCCCCTTAATACTGTATTGCCCTTTTAGCAAGCAAGCAAGCAAGGTAGCAGCTATCATCACTTGTCTTTGACCTTCCTTCTCCTCTTTGCAAAGATACACCTTCTCTGGAATCAGCCCCATATAATTCATAGCGTTACAGTGTTTTGTTTTTGAAACAGCCGTTCTGACCTAACTAGAAGTGTTCTGATGTGTTCTGAAACAGGAACATTTCTGCTATGTCGGGATACTTCCAGTAAATTTGGAACTGCTGCATTTGTCTCCCTCCCCCATATATTGCTTTTCATCACACCCATATCCATTATCCCCATGGGCAGAGTGAGTAACATAGCTTGAACAACCAAATAGCAATAATTTTGGAAGCTTAAAAAAATAATAATAAGCCCTAACTCTGTAACATAACAACTTGCTATGGGCTATCTCTGGACCATATCTCTCTGCTCTGGTTTTTGGATAAGCTCTAGAATTACATATTCACTATATACTGTATACTGGTCACTATTTCCTCTTACCAAATATTTGCGCTTCCTCACAATTAGTTTCCATGCTGAGACAAATTGTATGCTTACATATATGGTAATTTTTCTTACAGGGTGAGAAGGGCGACCGAGGTGAGAGAGTAAGTGATCCTTCTTTTTCCCTGCCTGCTCTGCTTTTGGTGAGAAATCAGTCAGCAATTCAATTGCTGAACAGCCAAACAGTAGACCAGCAAGGTCTTTCAGTCAGAATGTAGGGTTCATTTCTCTATCCTGACTTCCTTGGAGGAAGCTCCCCTAAACTCAGAAGAAGTTACTTCTAAGTAAACATAATTCAGAGTACTGCTCTGAATGAAAGTGAGTGTGAAGAGTGTAATGTTCAGGAAAGCAACGAAAGGACAAAGAGTTATGGTACTTTGGCCTTTGGAGGGTCTGTGGGCGCATTTGGGGTGGTGAAAAGTTCCCAAATTAGCAGCTGTGAGGGATGTGGCCAGACACAAAATTAAAAAAAAAGCAGCCCTATTCACTGTCTTCTTTGGGTAAGTCTGATATTTCCTTTTCCTCTAGTTGCTTTACTCTCCTCTTTGCTCCATCCTCCCATCTCTGTTGGTCTGCTTCTTCTGTCCTCTGTGGTTCTCTCTCTGGATAATTTTCTTCTCTCTAGTGAATGTTTCCTCTCCTGCTGCTTTTTTTCTCCATCTTCTCCCTGACCTAACCCCTGTGGTCTCTAGCAAGGGCTGGGGCTGATGGAGAGAGACACTAGCCGGTAGGAAGTCAAGCCCATTGGGGAGCCCAGTGCTGTCTGGATGATTGGTTACTTATTCTCAAAGGCCAGGCCTTTGGGAACATAAATACCCTCAAATTGCCTTGCATAATGATAAATCGGTTACAAGGTAATTTTTGTTTTTGCTTTATAACTCTGTGCTTTGTTTTTATAGTAACTATTGTATCTGCAGACAGTAATATGAAAAGGGAATTATTTATTTATTTATTTATTTATTTATTTATTTATCTATCTATCATATTTATATAGCCACCCATCTCACACAAGGTGAAAAATAAGCTAGTCCTATCACTATGTCCAGGTACAGGATGCCATTTTAGCTGTAGCAGCTTAAATTTCTGCCTCCACTGTTATTACTAAAGCTGCCCTTTAAGATTTGGCTCCTTGGTTCTTTGTGTTCCTGTACTTTTTTAATGTACTTTATTTTCCTAATGTGAAAAGATATGAAACTAGGGATTTGCAGAGATCCAGAGCTCACCTTGACTCTCTTTCTAGGGCCCTCCTGGATCAGGTGATGGGGTTGCGGTCAGAGGAGAACCTGGTACTCCAGTGAGTACATTCTTTGCCATGTTTTAACTCTGGGACCACAGAAAAGGCTAGAATATGTAGGCAAAGAGGGGATTTATAAATGTAGTTATTGGTAATGCTTGAGAAACACTGGATATGTATATATGAGATGTATCCAGAAAAAACAAGAATGACATCTGAAGGTATTTGTTCTTGCTAGAGAACATTTGTAAAACTTGCAAGAAAATAGAATTTTAGTTTAAAATTAAAATCTGGGAGAATGTAGTATGTCTGACAGAAAAGTATTACTGTAAGAGACAACATCTGAATCTCCTAGAAAAATGAACAAAACCAGTAAATGACTGCTTAACAGCAAAGAACTAAAATTTGCACTTTTGTATATCCTCTGTTCCCCCCCACCGCAGGGTGTGCCTGGAGATCCTGGGCTCAGAGGATCCCCTGGGCCTCCAGGACAAAAAGGCGATAAGGTAAGACAAGGATTTGTTCACTGACTAAAAGGATGAATGGAGCCTAGATGAACAAAATGAGCACTCCATTTTTTGTGTTTTGGTTTTTTTGCTCCCATTCAAAATTCCAGATAGAAGTCTTCCATATTGTTGCTTCTGCGTAGAAGTTGTGTATCTGAGAATATGAATCCAGAGTTGTGCTGACACAAATTAATTTGGGCCGGGGATTCTGTAGGTTTCACTTTCTGCTTTTAACCAGTGAACTTGTTTATGTTTATTATGGGTGACCACTGCTTTGCTTTATGCTTAAAGGGAGATGGAGAAGAAGGTTTTCCTGGACCTCCTGGGCGTACTGGAGACCCTGGAGATCGGGTGAGTTTTGAGAGAAAAACATTCTCTCTTAATGTTCTTAACAGCCTATCAAATGGAAACCATTTCAACTTAAATGAGTAAGCTTAACAAAAGTTAGCTGGCCCTTGTACTGCTTAATATTTAATATTTATGTGAAAAACTGCTGATTGGTCATCTGAAACTTTGAAATTACATTCCACCAATATGTGCATGACACTCAGTAGTACTACTTCTTGCCATTTAAGTCCAAGAAAGCAGCTGGTATCCTTGAGGGTTGTCTAAGTGTAAAGCATAGCAAGCAGAAGACTTGTTATGCTTTACACTAAGACCAGCCACAGTAACAGGTGCCAGTGGCCATGAAAAGAAAAAATTAAAGGATGGAATGTTAGCTCTGTCCAAATGTGATTAAGACCCTAAAAACAGGTTTTCCATCTGGGAGTGCTCTTTGATCCTCAACTTGCACAATTGTGCTAGGGTGCTATTCATGACTATTTCTGAACAAATTAAATATGGCCTTAATTATTCATGTCTCATGCCATACATCAGAATTAAAACATTTTCATTCACTATATGGACTAATCTAAAATTTCTAGCTCACGCTGAAGATCTGTATGATATATAGATAGAGAGATAGAGATATATTTATATTTTCTAGGTTAAATTAAGGTATTGAGTCTAATCTTTAAAACCCAAAAATGTTTATGACCTGAATAACTGAGAGACATATTTCTTGATATGAATCTGTCCTGCTATTAAGATCTTCCCTGAGAAGCTTTCTTAAAGATATCCTCTGCTATCAGAAGCCCATCTGTTTGGCTATGTGGGAAAGGGGGTTGTCCTCCATTGTTCCCCTGTTAACTTACTGTTACCATTTAGGGAGCATTATGACTGCCAACCTTGTGAGGTAGGATAGGTTGTCAAACTCCCTTTGTTATATGCCACCACATGCATGATTTACAACAATTTTACTAGTCTTCAGCCTGATCACATGACCATCTAAACCTAAGTGTTGTACCACTAGAGAAAGACCCTTTTCCAGAGGTTTCCCTTTCTCTCCTTAAGAATCAGAAAGGTTTAAATCCAATGTTCTGGCACCTGGACTGTGGCTTTCTGACCTGTATAGGTTACTCATAACAACATTGAGATGTTCTGGGATACCCATGTTCCTACAGTTAGATATGGTTGACCCAACAGCCTTTTTATAATTATGAAGCACGTATTGACTTCTTTTTGATATTCTCTGGCTTTCTCAATTATCTAGCATGCATCAGCAATAATGTCTCTTGTTCCTCAGCTTTTTCTAAAACAGCTTAAACTTCTAATGTTTGATGATACCAAGATTATTTTGCTAGCATGTGAAAATAAATATAGTGTGAGAGTTTGCATGCTGTTAGATCTCCTTTCTTTGGTATTGGTATGTACATTGACTTCTCCCAATCTATTGGCCACCGTGTCATTATCCATTAAATGAAAAAACAAAAGATATAACTGAGATAAAAACATTATGTACTTCACCCTGTTTGTACTAACATTAGCTTGTTCCATAGTGGGAACATGGAAACTTTGATATCATTCTTATATCAACATTATTCCTAGTAAATTCTTTATTAAATGTAAGATTTCTTTCTTTTGTGATTTTTTATAGAGCTAATAAAACATCAACACACAACCTAAAACACACAAAATTAGAACAAAAAAACACACTGAGGACAGAAGTAAATGGAAAAGAAAAAGAAAAAAAAAGAAAATATATACAAATGTGTTGTAGTGCATTTGTGCATGTATATCTACTATGTATGAATGTATATGTAACACTGAGGAGAAATGCAAACACTTTAAACATACATACACAATCATTCTACTCCGTTGTAATATAGAGAACAAACAATGATCAGATTTAAATTAATTTATCCTTAATTGTAGGGTACTTCAAACTCTTTGTTATTCTGTTAATTTTTCAACCAAAGCATCCACCTTTTAAAATACCACTAATTCAATAAAAGATGCACTTAATTTTTCAGTATTTTTCCATAGCTGGTAACATAGTGGCTAACAACAGGAATTGAGTCATTTTCTTACGTTGCATTCATTTATATGCATTAAGAAATATTCATTGATTGTGTATTATGTTTTATCTTTTGTTTGCTGCCCAAATTTCATTGGTAGATTGGTGGCTATATAAATTTGTTAAACAAATTAAATAATAATATGGACAGTAAACCAACATCAGGATTCACCGTTACAACACATTATTTTCCCAATTTCTTTATTACTTGAATTCAAAAGGAATGGTTAAATTACTCCCAAGAGAGAAATGTGTATTAATTTGCTCACTGCCCCCCCAAACAAAAATGTTCTTGCTGTTTTCTTTAGGGCCCCAGAGGACCTCCAGGTGAACAAGGGATCAAGGTAGGTGTAGCTCAAGTGTCGGTGCTGCCTTTAGACTTGGAAGACTGAGCCCACACCACACTTTTAAATAAGAAGGGTGACCACATTGATTAACACACTGATTGACAGAAATTAGCTGATGTAGCTTTATTCTATACTGAATGAGGTAAGTGCTGTTCACACAGATCTTCTGTCTGTATGGAGTGGGCAGCTATATGCATTTCATTTTTACTTGCTGCTACCCATTTCTGGGGAAATTTTCTGCAGAAGGCTCAGTTAATGCACTGATATGGAGATCTGTTTGTTTTTTTCTTCATAGGAAATTCTGATTCAGTTCCCTTCTCCTGTGGCTGAGATTAGAGAATCCTTAAAAAATAAACCTTTAATTTACAGCTACAATTTTTATCCTTTCATGAATTATTTGTACTTCTTGGTGCTTCTAAAACCTGCTTTTTGTTTTTTGTTTTTTTCCTGTAATAGGGAGACCGTGGGCAGCCTGGTACACTTGGACCATCAGGAGAGAAGGTGGGATTTGAGTGGAGCAGTGCTGTTGAACTAAGTTCCTGTCAGTGATGGAAGATAGTATGCAACTGGTTTGGATCAAGTTTTCAAGTCAAGGGCTAACTTGTATATGTGTGAATTGCATAATTTGATTCCTCATAACTTCTTATATAACAATTGATGGCTGGTTAATGCAGTTTACACAAAACACTAATGATTTTCTTATCAAGAGGGGCTCCAGAAGTTTTCCTGCAGTTGCTCTTTGTCTGGCCAGCTTGGTCTTCCCATTGCAAAGAGGGGAATAATACAATCTGATTGGGACTATTTGGCTATTGCCGCCATTATTCATAACTACACTGGCTGACAATACTGTACCCAAGACAGTCAGCATCTGATCCCGTCATTCTGCAAAATTACATTAAAATTAAAGTAATATTTTAAGCTTCTTTTTTATAACAAATAACTGTAGTCTTACATGAGATTTTGCAAGATTTGGTGATCTTTCCCAAGAACGCCAAAATCTCATGAGAGCTTATGGGATCTTACATTCTAATATGGGTTTTCATTATGTGAATGTGCTATAGGTACTCTGTTCCTATTGTTACCATATGATAGCAAGGTTGATGTTCTCCGGGTTCCATTGATTAAACTGTGCATCTATCTGGACCCCGGAAGCACGCCTTCTCTGTAGCAGCGCCTGCCCTCTGGAATGAGGTTCCCCCTGAAATTCACATGGCTCCCACCCTAGTAGTATTTTGAGGAGCCTGAAGGCCTGGCTCTTTGTCCAGGCCTTTGGGGAGGATGACTGACTCGTCTTTCTTCCTTTTTGTTCCCCTCTGGGTTTGTTTTCTTTGCCATTGTTGTTCTTCTACCTTGTGTTGTTTTTTGTATTTTTTTTGTATTACTTTTTGTTCTTAAAAGTTTTTTAACAATTGTAAACCGCCCAGAGTCATTGGGAGTCGGGCAGCATATAAATTTCATAAATTATTCTTATTCTCATTATGTCAGTGTGCTATAGCTACTCTGTTCCTGTTGTTTCCATATGATAATGGAACTACTTTTTCAAAGAAAATATTGTTGATAAATTCATTGTTTTAGAGTAGAACTGAATGCACTGGTGGCATCCAGGCAGAGTTTTATGTGTTCTCTCAAACGTTTATGAACTGGAGTCCCTAGAATGTCATTTAGGATTTATTTTGAGATCCATCCTTAGAGTGGAAAGGGTTTCATTTGGATTCAGAATTTTTCTGAATAAGCAAAATAGGAAAGCATAAAGCTTGGTGGTGTCATTGTTGTAGTATGTTTCTTATGGAAACAAAATGGATTTAACTGTGTTTCAGTGGAAACATCCCGAAAGAAGAACGGATACTCGCTGAACACTTTGACACCTTAATTGGCCTGAAATGTACTTTTTGCAAAATTTACTTTTCTCTTCTAGGGAGAACGTGGATTGCCTGGCCCTGAAGGAGAGAAGGTATATATATTCATTCTGAATTGACCATATTATATCCAAGGAGTAACTTAATCCAATTAGTAATTTTGACAGGCTTCTCTGGGAAAACCAGCATGGTCTAGTGGCTAAAAATTAAGATTTGGACTAAGAAAGCTTTGGGTCTCAGCCTAAATTACCTGACAGGTTTGTTCAGATGATAAAATGAGGAACATGTCACGTAAACTACATGTTTATAGTACTTTTTGTTTGTTTTAGGGAGAACAAGGTCCCGCAGGCCGTCCTGGTCCATCTGGCAGAGATGTGAGTATGAGAGTTTTCTTAATCTCAATGTCTCATAATGCTGGAAAATCTAGACATAAATCAACAGTTTCTATTTCTGTGGGACAGAAGTGCTGATTGACTTTGGACTTATTAGTCAAATATTATTGTCTAATTGGAGGACAATAGGGAACAACCCTACCCCTCTCATCTCTCTTGGTGAGTGCAATAGCTCAGAGGTGATTTGGTGAGTCAAAGAAGAAGCAACTGGAGAAGGAGTTAGAGAAATGATAAAACATGTTGAACTGTGTCTCAATTTGCTATACTAAAGGTTGAATCTATTATTTTGGGATAAGGAACTCTATTGGACAATTGCAAATGATGGTGAGATAGTATGATTTATAATGGAGAAGTGGAAGATGGACATTGTTTTCTTCTGCAAACTTCCTTTTTCTCCCAGAGATTTCAAGCATGTTTTGCTGTTTCAGAAGAAAAACAGGTGGGGACCTAGAATGATTTCCAAGAGGAATCAGTGATTTTAGGAAGGACTGGTCATACTTCCTACTTGATACTTCTCCATTTCAAATTATATCCTCCTCTTTCCCATCAGTTGCAGCTTTTCAGTAGCAACTTAGATTTCTAGATCTAGGTTCATCTGAAATCTGCAAATTCAGGGCCAAATCCAAGAGAATTCTTGCCCATCATAACGGACATCAAAAAAGTAATCCCATGGCTGTGGTTCAGTTGTGCAATAATAAAAATATATGAATCACCTTGAATCCTATCATTACTCAGGTACACTCTTTCCTGTCTGTATCATCCCTCAGTAAGGATTCTTCCTAATGTTGGCCAATGATTCAGCCGTTATTTGCCTAGCTGTGAATTCAAGAACTCCTCTTCTTACTACTGCCTAGTATGAGATCCACAGTTATCCCAAATAATAACTCTTTCCCTCTCTCTCTCTAATTTGGAATAGGGCTTACAAGGATCACCTGGGCCTCGAGGGGAACAAGTAAGGATTCTTGGACCTATTGCAAATGCTCTAATTTATATTAGAGATGTACTTACATAGCAGGGCTCTTAAAGCTGAAAGGAATTAGTATTGTGACCTGTCATTCCTCTTTATGTAGAAATAATATTGCATAATAGTTGAGTGCTTGTGTTGCTTTTGACTATTTCTGGTTGCACTAATACTATGTCCCAGTTCCCATTACTATGAAATTGGCTCAGATTTATCAGTCATTTGGAGTACTGAAAATGTATCTGGTGAGCCACAAATAGTGCAGAGCTTACTGAGATACAAATTAACATGAAATGTTCCCACACAACAGTGTTAAATACTATGGATTGAATTAAATTCTACTCTCAGATTCCTGAGAGTCCACCTCATTGCTCATAATGAATCAACTCCTAGTAGAACTAGGATGTGATCTTACTAATGAGTAAAGTGAGTGAAGCCTGATGCAATGAGCTTATAAAAGCATCAGTGGGGATCAACTGTGGCAAACCCTTACAGGAAGACTTAAACATCTGGGGCTGCCCAAACACTTTTCCTGTGTCACTTTCTTCCATAGGGAGAGAGAGGAGAGCCTGGTATACCTGGTCAGCCGGTAAGTGTCCCATTGTAAACAGCCACCGTAAACACGGGGGTGGGTAAAAAAAACTTCCATCTTTATCCTAGTTTTCTCTTTTCTGGTGGTTTAATTCCTAGTCTAGAAAAGGCTGTAAAGATATAATCTGTTATGCTTTTGCAAGGCAGTTTTACCTAAACTTCACTTGGGCACAGATATTTCATGTACATCATATAACTAGTAGCCTAGTTGTATTCCACGTATGTCAAGGATGAGGAACTTGTGGCCATTCAGAATTTACCAGTCCACAGTTTTTGGCTTTCCAGAACATTGGCCATACTGGCTGGGCTGTAAGTACAGAGACGTTCATATGGAACCCACTGAATCTTCCTTGAGAGACATGATTATTATTGCATGAGTGGAGAGCTGGCCAAAGCCCATTATTCCATCATTTCTTCTTCATCTGATCAAGTTAGCTGGCTGATGGAGAACTTCACTATCCATCTGTCCTGAAATAGCTATGTTCATACAGCTATTTGTACATAGCCGATAATGATGGATAGGAAGTGCCTTCTGCAAGTTTGCATTTCTGGAATATGATCTGAAAAGCACTCAGCAGCTATCTTTTTTATATCTCTTCTAGGCTTCCAGCCTTTCAGGAATTAAAGGAGACAAGGTAACTGCACAGGAACAAATCTCTTGTTACAGATGTGAGGAACAGACAGTGTAGAATATCCTATTTTAATTTATATTGGTTGTAGCAGGGGAGTTGGCTTGAATAAACTGTTACAAGAGACTGTTGTGGCTCTCCTTTTTCTAGTAGTTTGATTCCTGTAATTTGATAACAGTTTAGGAAAAAGCAGTGCTTAACTTACATATATGGGAAGCAAGAGTACTGCCATGCCACTATGGAACATTTAAATTGTGATTGTTTTCCCCTTCTCAGGGAGAGAGGGGCGTTGCAGGACCTGAAGGTCCACCTGGACCTAGAGGAGATGCTGGGAACAAAGGAGAACGTGTGAGTGTCCTTGGTTATGGAGAAATATCATAACACACTAATTATGTAAATGCAGCCTGATAAATTTGATTTTTTTCCTGCTGAGCAGCAAACTGAGATCCTGACCACTTCAAATACTGTCAGGGCTTGTTTTCACTTTTAGATATAGCCTGATATTACCTTATATGACCATCTGCCTTGGAGAGCAAAAGTGAGGACCAGGCTCAGATGACTGTGAAAGTTACTGTTGGCTTCTGTGATTGAATGGAATGATGATTCTTCTCTGATAGAGTGGAGAATATATTTCTTCTTTCCAAATTGGGCCCTTCAGACTCACCTGATAAAAAAATATCTCAGCCACCATTTAATCAAATCTTTCACCAGACTATATTTCAGTTCAGCAATATCATTGTTAGATCCTTCCAACCAGGCAAAATTTCACTAAAGGTTAAAGCTCTCTTTCCCCCCGCCCCAAAAAATCCTTTGTGCTGATTCAATTTCTCTTCATTACAGAACATTTTCCAGATCTTCTCAATATCTGTGAAGCTGATCTTAAAGATGATATCTTACTAGTAACTCATGTATATGGGTATACATATATGAATATATGACATCCTTATAAGTGTTTCTATTCTGAATTTGCTTTTTTACATTTTTTCAGGGGTCTCCTGGTTTTAGTGTCCCTGGACCACCTGGCCCAAAAGGAGAACAAGGAGACAGGGTCAGTCCTACATTCATGCCAGCTGTACATCTTTAAGACTCTGTTAATTTCCCTCTTTTCACTGAGAAGGGGAAGGGATCCCTGTAGGAAAAAAAAATAATTAAATATAAAAAATTAATTTAATTTAATTTAATGAGCTGACATCAGTGCCATGCTTTGGCTCCTAGCTCCATCAGGTCTAATAAAAGAAGGCTCAAGTATCACTTCTCCTTGTACAAATAGTAGATATGGGCCACGTCTGTCTATGCATTCACTACAGAATGCAGAGCAGGGCATGTATCCTTGCAGCAAGTAATAGGTAAGCTCCACTCTTTTTTTTTGGAGTGTCTCTTACTCCTTGCCTAAAAGTGATTATGCAACAGCCTTCCTTATGCAGAAGTCTGTTTTCCCGACGTAATCATTTGAACCATACTAATTATCTGTGTTCCTTTTTCCTTCAGGGGATCACTGGACTGACTGGCAAAACTGGCCCAAAGGTGACTACTGTGCATTGGAGGAAGGGAGCAAAAGGATGTTGATTGGGCTCTGGGCTAGGTGGGTGGGTCTTACATGGGTATGGTAATGATACATAACCAGTCTTGGGTAAAGTGACATTCGTCTTGAAGGGCTAGGTGGACAGTTTGGGAGCATTCCTCAAGTTGTTGCTACAAGGGGGGGAGAGATGTTAGCAGTAGCCGGACACATTACAGATCCTGGCTTCTACATCAGCTATAGATCTAGTTGAATGCCCTGAGTTACTTTCAGGCTAGACTTTTGTTAGAGTATTGGAGGATGTTTTAGTGGGGCTGCTGTATCTATAAGTAATCAGATAATGGGTCAAAGTGGGTAGAAGCCCCTTCTAACTTTTCCAGGTTATTTCACTGCATATTAGACAGTAGATTAGTCTGCTTCAGAATTCTGTTGTATTTGGTTTATTTCCCCCCCCTTAAGATGATTCTCTTCCTTAGGGTGACCCAGGAGAGCCAGGGGAGAGGGGAGAGTCAGGAAGACCAGGTCCTGCTGGACCATCTGGCCAACGAGGAAAAGAGGTAGGAAAAGGAACAACCATATCTTTTGTTGGACTTGGGATCTAGCAACATAAATATTCATTTATAAACCCATATTGTCTTCTATATTCTTTTAACTGTGTATTTATATGTCAATAGTACTGTAGCTATAACCCATCTTTAGTCAGAATCTGATTCGGTGAATTCATTCACAAATATTATAGACTAATGTTGTAACTGGCTGAGAATTCCTCAACCATGTCTTATAGCAAAATTGATAGTGCTACAAGGACATGACTTCCATGGAGACCTTGTAAGAGAGTGTAATGGCAACATTAGCATATCATCTTTGAGCATCGGATTTTTTGAGGATCAGAAGTGATTCCTAAACACTGGAGTAATTTCTTCTCAGGTCACTAGAAGATAGACTCTTCCAATCCAACTTGTTTAGCAGAGCGTATTTCCTGGGGGGTCAGGTTCATTTTCATAGGCATACATGTATTCATGCCTTGAAGTTGGATGGCCATTTATAAGAAATGCTGTAGCTGCAGCCTGCAGGGTACATCCTTCACTGAAGAGTTTGCATAAAATAATTTCCATTCCATGGACCTGCAGAAAGAGATGCCAAGGGTAGATTTGTAGCAAGTAATTTCCTTTTGAAATGCTGACCTGTTAGATTGCAGTGGTAAGGGCATTGAGTATATTCACAGACACTGTAGTGGGAATTGAAAACAGGGTGTGTGTAAAATGATAGAAGTAATTTCTCTGCTGTTGATTTTAGGGTGAAAGAGGTGACAAAGGAGAGGAAGGGACCCCTGTAAGTAACTGTCTCAATTTGCTTATTATCCACTCTGATACTCTTTTTTTAATTTTTATTTTACTTACTGCTTTCTCTTTTTTCCAAAGGGTGAGCAAGGCCTATCTGGGAAACCTGGAGAGAAAGGTCAGCGGGTAAGTATTGCAGAAGTACAACCCAAGTTGTTCTGTATAAAATGAGAAGAACTGTAAGTAGTGTTGTAGACACAGAGAGATTGGATAGCATTGCATGGGGCTGCCTTTGTAGGCCATTTGGAAATTATATTTTTCAACTGATTATGTATGCTGAGTTTATGATTCTAAATATCACATTTAATATTTTTATGAATTGAATCACCAGGCATCATCTCTGCAGTTTGGCTGTACAGCAAACAATTAAATGAATTTTTTCTTGCCTGAGCCAGAACTTTGAAATTGAAGAATACTTTCCTCCTTTATAGTTCTTGTCTGCATCTAGCTTGAAAGGTTGAGATGTTTGCATCAGTCATGTGGATTGGCATTGCTCACAGGGGTGAACCTATAGACTGAAGGTTTATTATAATCTGCTGGTCCCACAATCTTGTATAAAGTTGGAGAATCCCAGCTTCCCTTGGACTGATACATATTTTCTAGCATCATCATCTTTTCAAGTCCCATCCTTGATGAGCCACTTCCAAGAAAAGATGTCTCCAGGTATGAAATTATCAGATTCCACATTCATTTCTATTTTGATTTCACAGGGCCTGCCAGGCAACCGAGGCCTTCCTGGTGAGAAGGGAGACCAGGGGGACCCAGGTGAAGATGGGAGAAATGTAAGAGCACATTCCCACTTTCAAATGGCATTGCAGAACTTGACTGCCAAGCTTTGCCCAATTTACAAAATAGCTCTTTTCTTTTACAGGGTAGCCCTGGAGCACCAGGGTCAAAGGGTGATCGGGGGAGTCCTGTAAGTCACTATGCCACTTTCAGAGAGTCTTTTTCTTACTGAAGCTTGTTCTACCCAGTCTAAATCTGCTATTTGGTCTCCAGATTGCTATATATTGAGACTGACAACAAATATAGTTACAGACCCAGCATGTTCTTTGAAGGTAGCAGTAGGCCTCTGTTTTTCTTTTAGCCATGTTGCAAGGACTGAAGCTGCAAGTTGGGAGCAAGTGTTTCCCACACAGGAAAGGACTGTTAGGTAATAGAGATATTTAAAAATGTATGAAGAATAGACCTCTGCAAATTATTTGAGAAGATATTCACTCACAAGCACAGAGCCCCTCTGGATTCTTCCTTAAAATCATGAAGTGCAGGTGCAAGAATTCATTTCTACTGGGCAGGGCATAAGTAGAGCTCTGTGGACCTCAAAGCATACCTCTCAGATGCCTGCCCCTGGCGAGAAACCCCAGGCTCCAAGTGCCCACCCAGAGTGCAGCAATGGAGAGCATGAGAGAGGGAAAACATGAGGGTCACACATCTGCTTCTTTACCACTGTAGAAAAAAATCTATCTCTTTGTAGCTGTCTAGTAGCTATCCAGATTTTTGTAACCCAGGTATGATACGCTTATTCTAGTTTACACAAAATGTGGAGGAAAACAAAGAAAGGTAGAGCGTGGCCTGCAACAATCACTGGCCCAGGCTCCAAGGGCTCTGTTTGTAGCACCTGCTGCCGCTGAGGTGAGAGCTGACCCAGAAGTGGCAGAGGAGGAAGTAGTAGTAAACATGGTAGTGGTTGTCCCCTCCCTCCTTCCCTCCATGCTGTTCTTCCTCTGTGGTTTCTCTTGGGGTCCTATACTTGGTTTACTATGCCTGAATTGCAAAAATCTGGGCAATCATTAGACATTGCAGCAAATGATATTGGAGGAGTGCTTCCAATGATTCATACAGGCCAAATAAGAGCTATCTCTCTACCTACTAAATGTGTATAATGTCACGCATAAGCAAAAAGTAGCATATTACAGGCACTATAAAATTACCACTTCATATTTTAATCTTTGCTCCTCTCTTGTCCTCTTTTCTCTGCAGGGAGAGCCAGGGCCTCCAGGCCAAGTTGTAAGTGGCACTTTTTTGCTTCCAGTATTTTGCTTTAACTCTTGATTCTGCACATGCCTGATCTACTACTTCTTCTCTGCTCTGCAGGTTGGTGTGGAGGCTGGAGGAGGAGGGCAAAAAGGTGAAAAGGTAATCCTGCTATGAAGTTCCAACATCAGTTTGGGAAGAGCTGTGGAAAAACTCCAATCTGTGGATTGCAAGCACCTTTCTGGCAGAGAGAAGGCAAAACAGCACTCCCAGAAAGAGATGGTGCTTGAAAGGCTTTTCCCCCTGCATTCACTATAAAGGCTGTTTTAAAAAGTAAATAGCATTGCCTGGGAACAGAATAGCAGTAATCCAGATCACAGCAATTGTGGTGAGGGGTAGCCCCTTTCCTGTACTGTTGCACTCCTGAAGAAAGTCATCCTCTGCTATTTGCACTGTGAGAGTTTCCTCTTTAACGCTAATGGAGGTAGCCTTCCAATCCAAAAAGTTAGAGCACATTCAGAAGAGATATGCTGGATCAGGCCAAAGATTTGTTTCCCATGGTAATCAACCAGATAGTCATAGCAAGCCTACAAGCAGGGCCATTGTTATCCAGTAGCTGGTATTTGCAGTCATCATGCATATGATCTGGTAAGAAGTTTGTAAACATCATTATGACTGTTGACTGATTGCCTTATCCTCCATAAACTAACTTACTTGCCTTTTAAAATAATGGAAATGTGTTGCCACCACTGCTTTTTCTGATAGTACAAGCCACATTTTTAATCACAGCTTTTAATTTATTATTGCTTCCTACAATCTAGCTCTCTATACAGTCAGGTTTTCTCCTATAATGAAGCCAGGGCATTCCACAGTGGGATATCTTTCCTACTTTCTTTGGAGGCAAGACTAGAAGCTTCTAATATAACTTCCTATGGAAAGAGATAGCTCAGTTCCCAGTTCTGGAGAGCATGCATGTCTGTGAGCTCTTCAACCAGCCACATGGTTTTTTTTTTTAATCTGCGCTCAGTCGTTACCGACTCTGCAGTGACTGCTTGGACGAGTCCTTGCA